CCGCCCCCTGGTGGGCTGAGCTGGCTACACACACACACACACACACACACACACACACACACATAAATAAAAAATTTAAAAAAAAAAAAGATGGTATTATAAGAACAGAGCTCAGTGGGAGAGCACTTGCCAACCCTGTGCAAGGCTCTAGGTTCAATTCCCCAGAACAGGAAGAGCAAAACCCCAAACAACAGGGTGATATATATATATATATATATTATTTATGCAAAATAAAAAAGAATAACTTTCTTTTGGTTTTTTTTTTTTATATTATTTATTTATGTATTTATTGAGACAGGGTCTTACTACATAGTTCAGGCTGATTTCAAACTCGCAATGCAGCCTAGGCTGGCCTAAACTCCCATCAGTCATTCTGGGATTACAAGTGGGCATCACAATTCCTAGCCATAAAATGCATATTATAGAAGCCAAACCCACTTTAACACTTAGCATTAATATTTAAGCTGAACCACTAGCACATTGTAGTGTGTCCAAGCTAAAAGCATAAAACAAGGGGCCGGGGAGACGGCTCAGTGGAATAAGCGCTTCCCTGGCAAGTGCAAGGGCCTGAGTTCAATCCCCGGTTCTGCAAATAAATAAATAAAAATAAAAGCATAAAACAGCTTGATAAGGAACAATGGGAAATGCTGGAAGACACTACAAAATAAATAGAAGGCAAAGGCCATGTTGATATTATCAAAATACATCAGCAAATATTCATCTCAGTGCATCAGATTATAGAAGGACAGCTCCGTTCCTCTCTTGTGGCGCCCTCCCACTGGGCTCTGTCCTCCTCCTCCTCACAGCGGAGCTTTCAAGCAGTATGACAGACACGCACGGACAGGCTACTGCCCAAAGGCTTCTGCCACCACCAAACCGCCTTTCAGTGGCCAGCACCTTCACTGCATTCCCTCGTGGAGGGCTGCTTAAAGGGTTATCTCACTTCCTTGCCTCTAGAGAATACTTTTGCTGTATAAAAATGTTGGGGCTGGAGAGATGGCTCAGTGGTCTAAAGCACCTGGTTAGAACAAGCTTAGCAAAGCACAGAGACCGCGGTTCAATCCCCCAGCACCACATGCCAGCCAGCCCCGCCCCCTGGTGGGCTGAGCTGGCCACACACACACACACACATAAATAAAATAAATGTTACTTTTTTCCCCACATAAGGAAAGGTAGACTTAAAAATAAAACCCAGCTGGGACTATTTTACAGACACAGAGATAGACACACACACACATACACACACGCAGTGGGATAGTGAGGAAGCACAGGCCTTTGGGGGAAAGGAATTAAAATTCACTGCTTGTTGCTAACCTAAATTCCCCGCAATCTCTGAGGTTATATACACTGATTTTTCACTGCGTATTTAATGTTTTTAAAATGAGCTGGTAATGTAAAATGATATGTCCTGCCTTTCTAACAAATCAAATAACACAACAAAAACACTTGAACTGTACTCCTTTTAGTAATCATCCTCAAAATTATCTGCAAATGCTCCTTTAGCAAGTTATTAGTGAAGATTATGATAAAATCTTAGTGTCATGTATTTTCCTGACGGCTTCCTTTTTTTTTTTTTTAAACTCAACCCACAGTCCGGAATACACTCTTCTTCTGACCACATGAACACACAAACGTGAACATGCAGGTGCTGTGGAATAACACACTGGTGGAGATGGCCATAAAATCAACTCTTTTCCTGTCCCTTAGTAGTTATAGGGGCCGGGGAGATGGCTCAGTGGAATAAGTGCTTCCCTGGCAAGCGCAAGGGTCTGAGTTCAATCCCTGAAACTACGTTTCCTTCCTTCTCTTGTCACTAAATGGGATCATATGGCTATGTTTTTGTCATCAGAAGGTGAACAGAAAGAAGTGAAAGACTTCACGCTGGATCTTAAGGGGCTGAGCGCAGCCTCCCCAACTCCTTCTCTTTTCAGGGGCGGGATCATGAGCAGGGAGGTGCAGGCTCCCGCGTGCAGGTGGGACACAGAAGCTGGGGGCTCCAGGGCCCTCAGGGCTGGCGGGGAGCGGACCGCCTGCCACTCTGAACTGCTCCCCTGGGAATGTTACCTGAGAGAAGTAACCTTTGATTTTCTTCCAGTCACTATTTTTTGGTGCTTTTTTCTCTATCAGCTTAGCTTTTGTACTAAAAGTCCATATTTATTCTGGTTACAAACAATGCATCTTTTTTTCTTTTTTCTATTCTGCTTTGTACTATTTTAAAGAAAGAAAAACAAATGTTGGCAGTCCAATCCCCTAAAAAGACTTTTCAACTCAGTAACTGACCACTATACTAAAAAAAAAAAAGAAACAAAAAAGGAAAAAGAACCTATAATATTCAACAACGGAACTTAAAAAAAAAAATTGGGGTATAACTATGAATGTCCATTTTGTATCTGTGTATTGAAAGTGGTTGGGATAGATATATAGTTGCATTCTCTTAATGAATAGAATGATTTTTTCTAATGGTGTTTGTAAGTAGG